TGTCTGTGTCTGTGTCTGTGTGTCTGTGCATGCCATCTGTCTCTAAGCTTTTGACCTTTCTCAGCGTCACACCTGTGACACGGCAGCCGGGCCCCTCGACTCAGTGACAAACCAGGGGATGCACACAGTCGACACAGATCACGTCAATATTGTGACATGAGAGAGAGAAACTAGAGCAGAGCTGTAGCGAGTAAACAGTGAGAGGAAAACTTTGTCTTGTAAATAACAGAGGTACGTCAACAGTAAAAGTACAACTGGACGTTTTGTGTTATATTGAAGATTTCCAAGGTTCAAAATAACAACTTACTATTATTATTTACAGCAATACGCTTTTTACAGGTAGAGAGGTCAGACATATTCTAGCATTGGGACGAGTACATGTGCAACAAAATTATTTTTTTGCTATTTATCTATTTATCTAGAATCTAATTTTTTTTCTATAAAATCAATCATGTCAGGTGGAAAGAAATGAACTAATTGACTTGAAAAGGAGTAATTTTAATAACAACATGTTTGAAGGGTGAATTTTTTGTTACAGTTGCGAAACGATTTTCTTATTATGTAAAATTGTAAGAAAATGGTACCCTTTGCCAGTCAAGACTCAGTGAATCCACATAATCCACAGGAGTGAAGGCATCAACATACTAAATTAAATAACTGTGTCATGTGTAATTAACAACTTTATGAAACCCTGATCTATGCACCAATATTTTATAAATCCATTAGCACAAATTATATTTCGTCTTTAAATAAAATAGTAAATATATGGTATTTCATATCAGGCCTCAGGCCTGCCTGATTTCAACAGGGTGACCACATTCAAAACTAGAGATCCTGTTATCTCACTCCCTTCTCTCCCCGATAACATACAGTAAATACTTGTTCATCATTAATCTCAACACTGTGCTACGATCCTCTTCACTGCACACAGCAGCAACTGTTTCTGCTGCTCTCCTGCCAGGTGAAGAGTCTCCACCTCAGCCAGAATAGAAACCATGTTCTCCATCTTCAGTGCCTAGCACTCGAGCTGTACAGCCGCCAGATTACTGACCACAGTGTCCAAGTTTAACTTCATTCACATTTTCAAATAGCAGCTGTGTCCGCTCCTCTAAACCCTGCAGCTGTATGAACCTCATCCAATCTTGTCCACAAGCATCCAAATTAAGATTTTGTTAAGTGATACCATCCCTCACATCCTTGCCTTCCTGTCCATTATGCCCTGTGAGTGTTTTGATTACATAATATCAATATGTAAGTAAATATACATCTGGGCCTGCAAAATCTCAGTCATTTCTAAAGAATAAAGAGCCGTAATTTAATACAGAACAGACTGTATTGATAGATACTGATTTCAAGGCGTTTCCATACATTACTCCACTGCTCCACTATTACTCCTGGCAATCGTAGCTGTAATTTTATGCTCTAATTAATGAACAAAAGCTTTAAAATAGACCAGGAATTGTTAATATGTGAAGAGCTTTCTTTTTGTGGTAAAAAGATGCGCACTGTTACATCACTGATGGTAATAATGTGTACATGAGCAGAAATCCTCTGATGAGACATCCTGAATTCATTATGTTTGCTCGATCAGAGAGACAGAAAAGGAGAGCAAATACAAGGAAATTAATCTGTTCTGATGAGGCTTTTAACTGCAGGAGACATAATGCATTATAAGCTAAATGATACAATGGATGGCTTCGTCTTACATCAGCCTATTCTAGATGAACGGCATTTGCGAAGGTAAAAATGATAGCGGGTGGAGCAAGTCATTCTGGGTCACCAGGTAAGAGCTAACCTGGATGACAAACAGAAATAGAGAAACTAGACCCGCTCCTGTGTCTTGCTAGAAAGGGAAAGTTGATCACCCAGGTTGGGTCAAGTGGTGAAATGAGAAAAGTAGAAAGGGGATGATACGCTGCCAACATTTTGAAGCAATGAGGTAAAGATTTGTGTATACGTGTAGATATAGTCTCAAACAGCTTATTATAGAAATAAAGATGTTTAACCACACTGGCAGCATGGCTCTGTGACCATGTCCACCACAAATTGGTGGGGGTACGCACAGTTTACACAGCCCGCTGCGAGGATGAACTGTAATAACTCTGTTGATCCCTTTACCTTTTACTTAGTGCCATCATCAGCTCTAAGTTTCATGATATCCATTACTTTGGTATGAGTCCAAAAAACGGCAAAACTAATTACATTTTCATCAGCTGTACTTTGTTAACAGTTGAGCCTGTTAACAAACAAGATGGCTAAACATCACCATGTTAGTTAGCATTGTCACTGTGAGCAT